CACGGCGATGATCGGGGAATCGAAATAAATGGCTTTTTCGTTGCTCCAACTTGATCGAAGAAACAACGAAATGATAACATCCGGGTTCGAATCGATGATGATGGAGCATCGAAACGCCATCTTGATTCGCCATATTTTTATTATTATTTTTTTTTTTTTCTTTTCTCGCCATGGTGGACTAGACACACCAATCTTATCGACAATACGACAATAATTACAAATTCGAGGGAAACCCGATAAATATAACGTCGAATTTCGTAACCTTCGCGTTATTAGAAAATGGCGGACGCGGAAAGCCCCGCGAATTTTGGAACACCTCGTGAAATCACAATCGCGCCTAAGTAAAATGGATCCTAATGTAATTCGAGATCCGCGAGAAAAATTATCGATGAAACGACCGATCGATTTCATCATCCGACAGGGCTCAGCATGACTAGATGGACCGGAAGCGGGCCAGATTGACGAAGAAGTTTGATCACTGGGCCAACGAATCGAAACGCTCGAATGTTTTACTAAGCGATATGCGAGGATCGATTTGTATTAATGATCAACCCGAGCAACTGGACGCTTCCGACAAGACGTACTTCAAGATGATGAGGAACGAACACGCTTTAATCCTTTGCTTCCATCTTTTATTATAGTGGAATTACATTTATGCGATTTCATTGTCGAGGAACAAACTTGTTGGCAATTGTAATTATTCCAATTTAGCAATGAAAAGATTTTATAATAGTCTTCAGGATTCAAGATTTTAAGAAGAATTATTTAAATTGTGATATTCATAATTTTCAAACTTTTCCAATTTTTTCCAATTTTGTCATCTTTTTTTTTCTTTTTGAATTTTTCAATTAATTAAAGATAGATAAAATTTCGTTCCTTTATACTAAAATTGAAGTAAATGAAATTCCACTATATTTGTTACAGAGAAGGAAAATTTTCTCTATTGACTAAGCTGATATATCCTTCTTCCCTAAAATATATCTAATTGATCCTAATCCGATTATTATCGAAAAAATATGACTAAATTGAATAACTTTTGAGACTGTTATCAATCAATAATCATAACTTTATACGATAATACGAGTTAAACCAGTTCGATTGGTAAACTCTGAAATACGCCTCAAAATTGCAATCTTTAAAAAATGAAACGTGTCCTTTCCTTCCTTTTTCTATCTTTTCAATTTTCCAATAACGACAAGGCCAAGACAGGGCCTTTGTCATCCCACACAGCCCCGATTGCCGGTGATTTTCAACGAAAGGCCACAATAGATCATCGATCTCGTTGCTCCAGCTGGATCGCCTAATGAAAGCTCGAGCGTCCGCTCTAACAAATCGTTTTAAAACCGCGATACACACCACGAATTTAATTATTTAAAATCGTGCTCACTAAGAAATTCAATTAATAATCGCCTCGCCACGCGCGGAACATAAAATCACAAATTCGCGTAAGTAAACGCTTTTTTATATATCATTTTTCACTTTCTCGTTTTTCATTCTTTCTCACTTTTTTCCTTTTCCCTAGAAATTTCGCCCCGGCGACGGCTCTTAAAAAATTCGATCTAAGTCGATAACAGTATTCTTCTTTCTCTTTTATCATTTTTTTTTCTTTTTTTTTTCTCTTCTTTTTTTTTCTTTAATTTAAATCGAGGCTTGCACAAGACCCATTATTATTATTACTATTAATATTATTATTAATATTATTATTATTATTATTTTTTGGATTTAGTCGCATCTTTCGTATCTTTTTCTTCTCTCTCTCTCTCT